CTTTGTGTTCTAAAGTTCTTCAGTAATACTGCATCTATATTAATAAAAATATTCTTTATAATTGTTCTTCTACTTTGTCTAAGTAATATATTAATGTTCTTAAAATTTTAAAACATAGTGAGATATCAAGACTCATAATACAACAGATGGTTCATATTGTCCAGGTATATGACAATTATAACTATATTTTTATATAGAATACAAGCCAAATAAAAGAGGACAATGTCATAAAGATATCAAAATTGCAGAAATAAATTGCATTCAATTAGAGATTTTTGTATTCACCCAGCATTTTCTGGGCAGTACTAATCTTCTATAATATTGAAGAGTTGCCAGCCAAGATAGTGGGGTAACTGTCAAAAGATAATTTCTTTAACTATGTCTTGTTGAAATATTTTGATAAATTTTTATCTTATTTAATAGCTGTCTAGTAAAACTTGCATGTGCATTAGTTGTTATGAAAGGAGAGAAGGAAATTTAACACATATGACATGCATATATAAGGCATGAATAAAATTGAGAACTTACTACTTGTTCCTTCTATCTCAATTCCACTCCCATTTAGCAGGATTGTTCCCTCAATTCTTAATGAGCCCTCTCAATCTTTTAATGGCATGCAATAAGCTATTTTGAGTGAAGGTTAGGATCCATATAAGATTAATGGTATTTTATAGGTTTACAATTGGCAAATTTTTTTTATAGATTGAAAGTTTAATTTTAGTTATATAGATACATAGGTTAAAGAAAGTTAACAGTCACATTCCAAATGTGTATCAATCTCTATAAGTGTTTGAAATATTAAGTATTGATAGTTAACAAGATTGCCAGCTCCAGCCAAAATAATGTTCAATCTTAAGTAGGTTGGGGTGTATTCTTGTTATACTTCCTTTTACTAACTACCCCACATTTGTTTCAAATTTGTGAATAACCATATCAATGCTTGTTACCTTTCAACATATATTCTTAAGTTTTATATTAACACTTCAAGGTGGGAGAAGGCAATGTGTGTTTACTTGTGCTTTTCAACCTTTCGAGTTTTCTAAATTTGAGATTCACCAACTACTAATTTACTAAACACTCTAAATGATTTTTCACCATTACCTAATAATCCAAGTAGTCCATAACAAAAGTAAATTCCCTTCTTAAAAAGAAAAAAAAATCCTCTCCTTTCTAGTAAAAAGTCCCCTCCTCTAACTAATCTAGATGAGTAAAAGTCTAAGTATTGATCATTTTTTATAAACCCTAAACCTTAAATCCTAAATATTTCTAAACAACAAAAATTTATATTTCCAAAGGGGTGATTGTATTAGTACATAAAGAGGTATAAAGTAATAAAAATTATTAAAATTTTATTTATAAAAATCAACTAATTATAGGAAAAATTTAAAATTATGAAACTATTTTTATTTAAAAATATCATAAAACTAGTTTAGAAATTAATTAAATATTTTTGTATAAAAATTATAATGTAGTTTTAGGGTAATTATAAGAAGTTTTTATCACTTTTATATACCACTATAATATACAAGCTCTTAATTTAATGTAGTTATATGAAAAACAATTTTTTCTAACTTTCTCTTCCTTATCTTAACTAAGGTTTGAAGTACTTATGATACTTTTGTTTAAGCCTCTAGAGAAT